TCATATTTCCCGCCCCGTGTTTCCCGGTTTGTGGGTGGGGTGGGGGGTAGATGGGATTTCCAGGGTTCAGGCGACAAACGCTCGGAGTGATTCCCCACGTGGCATGATGTGTTATCATCAGAAGTCACTCGTGCTGCCACCCAGCAACCCTCTTGTATGATACCCGCGTGGAGGGAGAAAATGCACACTACCCTCATGGAAAAAATGGGAGTGTGGTCATTTGTAGCAACTGATGTCCTATGCATGTAAAATCCACCATGTGACTACCAGTATTGTATCAAAATAAAAAATAAAAATAAAAAAAAAAGCAAGGAATTTTGTAAGGCTGAAAAGCCGCATAGGAAGAGGGGCAGCGAATTTTAGGAGGGCTTAGGCTTTCCTCTTTTTTTTCTTCGGCATTTTTCACAATATCGCGCGAGGCAATTTCGGAGGCATTTTCTGGGAATATGTTCCCTGCTCACCCCCGCTCAGCGCATACATGGAACTCGCGGAATATTAGACGACTCGCCATTATTATACAATCATCAATTACATTATTGTGCTATCGTGGGAAATTAAATCCACCAGACATCCACTCTGCAATAGGGGCAAGCCCGTCAAGCTTCTCCGGAACCCCTAGATCTAGTCTTCATGAACTTATCTCCAGCAGATCTCACTGCGCCTAAACAACTGTTAGCTCTGAAATGTATGTCTTCATACAAAGGAAGGGGAGGGGTGTGGACTCACTCCGATTAAACGGATATGGCGCACAAGCATCATACAAGAAAGCCCTCTGATACTCCCTATAATTTTCCTCCCCACAAATCTATCCACAGTCAGTCCTCCACCAATTCACCCATCCCCCAGCAGTTCAAAAGGAGAAGAGCAAACCTTAAGCCTCTGCTCATACAACCTCGAAAGCACCAAGGCGATAGCCCCGCACCCAATCAAAAGAGGAATTAACTGCGCATTGTCATTAACCCTATTAATCTGACCTGGATTCCCCGAATACGCCAACATCAGCTCAATAAACAAGATAATGAACAGTGCTCCAAATCCGAGAATCCAAGCCGCGAACAGCGCCCTTTTGTTCTTCTTCGGTCCCTCGTGGTCGGATATCGACGATGCAGGGCTGATACCGTTGACGGGCAGGGGCGTTGGAGGTGGGGGAGCCCAATACCCCTTCTTCAACGGGCCGGGGTGAGAGCCGCCTTCGGACTCCCGCGCGCGCCGGCGATTCATAGCGGCGTGTCTGCGCTTCTTATTCCCCCAGCGCAGAGCGGTGATCAACACCGGGATGAACAACACTATCAAAAGGGGAGACCATATCTGCCCGATGAGCCGAAACCCGCCCAAGATCCTCACCGGTTTCGTGAAGAAGTGTGTGTGTCTAGCGCAGACAGACTTGATGTCGTAGACGCCCCTGAACCACCAGTAGTTCAGATACACAATGAACCCTGCCAGTAGACACAGTCTTAAAAAGTCCCCGAGCCGACTGCGACCTTCCTCCCTCCTTTTGGCCTTCGGCCGCGTGCGCTCCAGTACCTCTAGCGCCGTCAGGAGCGTCGCCGTTGCCGCGAGCAGGAGAATCACGACCAGGGCGTCGGCTTGGTAGTGTTTGTCTCGCGGTTTGGTTTGCGAGTCCAGCGTTAGGGTAAGGAAGAAGGCGAAGCTGAAGCAGTAGTTTAGATCCCGCGAGCTGTACCGGGAGATGGGGTTGTGCAGGAGGGTGTAGGCTAGGATTGAAGATAGCCAGATTAGGTATATTCCCATGCGGATGCCGAGACCGTATAGGTGGGATTGGTCTTGAAGCGGAGGGCAGAATCCTTTGTAAAAGTCCGGGCAGTACCACATTTTGGTCTACAGATGCTCAGTTAGTTTTTGGTACTTTGGAGGAGATGGGAGGGGATTTACTTGCTTGATCCCACTCGAGGTGGTAAATGCCAAAATGTTCACGGATGGGGGCTGGCGAATTGCGGTAAGCAGGTAAAGGAACAGGAAAGAAGGAGAGAGTACCGCCAGGTAGTTGAACTCTGGAACGGCCTTCCGTTAATCAAGAACGAACTGAGATCTGCGGTAGAGTAAGATATCATATGCAGCCAGAACATGCGAGTCAAGACAATGAGCGAATGCACAACAGTGTCACCACACCGCACTCGCCATCACACTTCTTCCTCTCTTATCAATAGGGATGTGATGAATTACTCGTATAATATCATTCCGAATCACTCGTCACCAGCCATCCCCGTTGTCGGAGTACCCTTATTGGCCTATTCACAACTAAATATGATACCAAGCTTTTAACAAGCCATCTTCCAGTCCTACAGAGTAAGCAGACCATTTCCTCTTTGACAACCCTCATCTCAATTTAATCAATCGATCAATCAATCCCCACGATTCATCCCATGACAACATCTATTTCAGCTCTTTCCTTCCTTCCTTCCTTCCTCCCCCCCATTCCCCGCCCCCCTTTCCTACAATGTGAGCACGAAAAAGCACCTCAGACACAAGTTGCGGTGCCCCAGCTCTCCTCTACCCCGCTCCTCGCCCCGACATCATAACCAGCCAAGATAACACAACAAAAAATAAGTAAAAACGATTAAGCGAACCACAAGGCTACTGCTAATATTTACTTTTTCCTCTCAAGCACCAACCAGGTAACACTTCGTTGAGCGTAACTTCGTTGGCGCCAATTAAGCCCCGGCAGTGTACTCGTACCGTACAGCACCGGTACAGTACTCGTTATCATACATCACATCGGGTCACTCAACTCACTAGTTCATAGATGAATGGATGAATGGTGGGTGTCCAGGAACCAGTGCTGGGGGTTTCGGGTGATAAGGTGAGACTTTGTTTCAGAGGGCTCTTTCTCAGTGAGAGTATATGCGGAGGAAGAGATAGAGAGGTTGGAGTGGAAGGGAGGATTGGAGGACGTAGGGGTGAGAAGGGGAGGGGGGCTGGCTCGAACACCACCTCCGCGATTTTTCCATTTGCTGGCTGGCTGAAGACCAGCCTGTTGACTTGATGACGGATAGATATCATGGTGATCCTACTGTACCCTACGAGTACTCCGCGAGACTGAAAACCGTGTGACGCAGCGTGTGGTGGTGTACTATACAGCCTGCAGTCCGCTACTCGTACCGATACTCGAGTACTCTGCCTGAGTAGTAGCCCTCAATTGGTCATACGGTGCAGCACCGGTACAAACCGGTAGGGCAAATCCACCTCGTGAGGGCGAGAAAACATGACAAGACGTGTTATATCTCATTACCCCATCCATCTGAATACAGTTGCCGTATGATACCATATCCAATCAGCTACAGCCCTACAGGTATCATGGATCACAACCAAACTGCGATTTCCCAATCGACTTACTACCCATCTCACCTACCGGTACCTGCTCACCCCGCCACCACCCTCGTAATAGTAGCTCAATTCGATCCATGACCTGAATAACAAAGCACTAAACCCGCAAGTGTCCTTCCATTTCATTCCACTCCTCCGACATCCCCATTATCAGGTACTGGCTCGGATTCACCAGTACCAGCACAATACTTCCAAACCACCATGAAGTTCTCGATATCTTCAGCAGCCCTGGTACTACTAAGTGCTCAAGCGACAACACCCTTCACTATCCACCCCAGAACCTGGGATTTCGTGGGCCTCCCAGACTGCCCAGCTAAATGCCTAGCCTCTGCTCCAAAGGTGGACTGCGCAGCACCAGTGCCGTGCGAACTCGTCTTTGATAAGACTTGCTTAGACTGCTGCTCCGACGAGGATGAGTGAGTTTCCCTCCACCATATACCCCCCAAACCAAACACTAGCTAATGCGATTTACGGTGGACAGAAAAACAGTAAATAATTGGTATGTGTCACACCTTCTCACTCTCCATTTTTCGCCATGGGATTCGAAGGCTAATTGAGAATAGGTGCATAAAGCTATGCAATAACACAACCCCCACACCTCCGCCCTTGCCGGTATGTACCGCTACGGTAACGAGGGTTAGTGAAAGGACGATATATACCGGGTCTGTGACGGTGACTTCGGCGAGGACGGTGTATCTGCCCACTGCGACGGCAACTGTCACGGCGACGAGGACGGCGACAGTGTTTACGAACACCATTAGGACAATCACCTCCGCAATATCAACCTCAACAATTTATAGAACCACCATCACCTCCTCCCTCCCACTCAACTTCCACTCCCAAACCACCACAACAACCAGAACTCTCACAACCACCACAACAACCATAAGCACCTCCCTCTCCCTCACCACCCTCCCGCCAATAACCACGACTTTAGCAACAGTAATAACAACCACCCGCCCACTCCTCCCTCCGGAAACGATAACCAGCACGCTGACCTGGACAACCTCCTCCATTTCAACCATCACCTCCACGATCCCAGTAACGATAACAAGAACCTACACCTCCCCGGCAACAGCAACAAAAACCATAACCTCCCCACCAGGAGCGCCTACGGGCACAACTACAATCACGCGCACGGAGAGAGCAACGCAAACCGTCACACGAGGATCGCGAGAAACGGTGGTCGACGACGGGGACCAGATCATCGTGTACGACGACCAGTGGGTTAAAGTCGTCGTGATATTCCTCCTAGCACTGTTGGCGTGGTTCGTGGGTGTTTGGCTGATTTGGAAGGAGTGTGTGTGTTGCGCCTATGTTCCGCCACCACCGCCAGCGCCGCCCGCAGAGGGGGGGTATTAGAGGGGGGGGTTAGGTTACCAAGTAATATAATAATTAATCTTATGAATATGATATGAATACGAATTAATGAATATCAAGTTACAACCACCGTTTCCCACGTACAATTAATTACTCTACCACACTGTACCTCCCACCCAAGCATCTACGAAGGGAGTGAATTGAATTGTCTAATCCAAACCACATAATTGACAAGTGAAGCACCAATACCTGGACCTAACCGCAAGCATACATATATACATAATGTCCCCCAACATATCCAGCCATCCTCCATCTCCACACCTCCGGTTGACTGAAATGTACTGTACCACCGTTGCCTATTTGAGAACGACTTGACAAACATTCCAAAAACATCACCACTTCCCCCCCTCAAAATAATAATAATAATAATAATAGTACAGGATCGTGAGGTGTATGATATTTCTATGTATGATATGATACAGTATGATACCTGAAAAACAAAAAAAATTAATTTGTCCAGGACTCTATTTGACAACCCCCCCCCCTCTCCCCCCAACGTAACCAATCCTTACTAGTATAGCGAGCTCTCCAAGTACCATTCATTAGCACCTTTGGTAAGCTGTACGTTTTCAAACTGTTGTTCGAAGCATTTTGTAAGCGAAGCATTTTGTAAGACGGTGCTAGTCATTTAGGAAATATCGTATCATACTGTTCAGCACAGTACAGTACAGTACAGGGCAAGTTAAACAATACAGCTCCAGCCCAACAACAGCGCGTACAGTGCTCGAGTATCATACTCGATTACAAGCACGGGCACCTGTCGTCATATCCCAACTTACCTCCACAATATGAGACAACGTTGTGGTAGCACAATCATTGCCCAGACCACATGCGACCCTGCGATGCAGGCAATCCGGACATCATATCATGCTCCATCTCATTCGAAGGAAAACAGAGTGTGTTCATATGTTATCCTCAGCACGGCTTTCAGTCTCGTGCACGAATTACTTTATTTTATGCCCGCGTTGCGATCAGCTGTGTATTTTCCCTTGTGTGCCAGTGTTTTATTTTATTATATCCCCGCACTTCTATTATTACACTTGTAACTTGGCAGGGTACTGTAAGCATGTAGAAGAGTGGGAACGGTCATTACCAATCACTCGCCTCGAGGTTCTAGAACGGCTGCAGATCCTCAATTATGATACCAGATTCCGGTTCATAATTAAGCAAGAAAAGCCTTAGTCGCAATATTCCCCAGCAGCCTATGCCCCAATCTTGTACTAGTATGATATCATACAATCCAATTCAGCAAGAGGGAGAGAAAGAAACTATCTTATCGGTGAAAACAATAGCCCTCCCAAGTTGCCAGATCAGAAGCCGATATTCTTCTTTCATCGGCCAAACAACCCGCGCCCGCATCCACTAATAAACCACCAAATCGCGCAAGCCGCCAGGAGGAAACAGTCAACAATTTTACCCCATGCTCTCTGGAGTGTTGCTCGAAGCTTAAACAATCTCGCTTTATACCTCAAGCTTTTCTGGTGCTTCAGGAGCACCTCCTCGGTCAACGGGGTATGCGGAGTATTAGCGGCCTCCACATCCATAGACCACAGGTCATTTTCGATTAGAGGCAATTCAAACCCCAGATCCCTTATAGTCCCCCCCTCCCGGTTATGCGCTATGGCATAGGATGACGCACCCCCGCTGCGGTAGAAGCAATTCCTCCATACCCGCTCGGGCGGAGGACTGCTTGTGAAATCCTGTGGCTGTTCCGTAACGTCCACGAGATGGGGTATCTTCGGACGAGGAGCGGTCTCCTCAAAGTACGAGATGATGGGATTATCCCTCGGAATCTGGGGACACGGAAGCCAAGCCTCGGGCGAGTTCCCCGAGCGCGGAGGACCCTGTTGGAGAGACACTGCCAACTCGTACATACTCGCAGGAGGGGACGCCGCACGTCCAGTATCCGAAGGAAACGGGAAAATACTATTGCTGTTATAGATACTAAGACTATACGCCCTCCGACCCCCCTTCCGGAGTGACTCTGGAAACCCGCCCAACCGGGTCACCCCAAAGATACTCGGAGCAGAGGTATGTCGCAGTAGCGGATACCTAGGCTTTGGGGCCGCTAAGGCTCTATTCCCGACCAAAGTGGTATCTCCCTGCTCCCTGCTCACTCCGGTAGCCACCCCACAATCAAGGGACTTCGTTCTATCCCCATCCCGAGACGCATTCACCAGCGAGCCCTCGTGTCGAACCTCCTCCAAAATACTCCTCCGTGGCCTCCCGCCCAAAACAACCTCAGCAGACCACTCCGGCAAGCTTCGCCTCAGCCCACCCCTAAACCTTTCCCAAGACCCAAACACCGTAGAAGAGACAGAGTACCTCTTCCCCTCAGGGACTGTGTCCGTTAATCCTGCCTTGCATAGGGTTCTGAAGAAAGTATAGGAGGGGTGAAGACTTATACCAGCAAAATTTTGATCGGTTGTTTCGTGTTCGCCTAGCATTCGTGTGTGCGGAGTGCGTTGGATAATAGTGTCCGACGTCTGTGACATCTTGCTTTGCAGGGGAAGATGGGCGGCCCTATCCAAAGGCTTTTGAACAGATTTTACAAGGGGAATGAAAGGGAGGATGACGCGGCCAGGCCATACTGGAGTTATAGGTAAATTTATGGTATTATTGCCTATGGAGGGGTTTTCTGCGTGCGCAGTCGCTATCACTAGCAATCGGATTTTGCAAACTTTTCCCCCACAAAATTCATCATAACATGAGTGATTTCACATGATTCAATCTAAGTTGACAAACTATCATACAGGATGAAGTCTAACGTCTCACCCGACATCACACAGCACACTGGACAACAGCCCCTCAGTTAATTATTCCCACTAATTACATCCCTAGCCACCCCTTGTCCATTCGCAAAGCATACATCCCCTTCAAGCCACCCTAAACCCTTTGAAAACCCTACAATTCAAGAAAAATGCAACCCGAGAACATCTAACGAACTAGACAATTCAAAAAAAGCGAAGAAACGAGGAAGTAAAGAAATAGCAGGAATCTACCCAAATACCTTTTTCGGAGTCCACCAAGAGCTAAAAACGACACGGAAAGAAAAGAAAAAAGGTAATAGTAATAGTACACTTGTGAATTGATTGATACTCCGCCTAAGGTGATTAAAAGACAAAAGCAAAAAGAGGCATAATAAAGAAGAATGGTTCAATTTTGTACTCTGTGCGAATGAGAGAGAAAGCAATTCAAAAAACAGCCGCAAGTGGATAGGCTAGGGCTCATTTCGTCACACCGTCAATCATAGCGAGTCGTTCCTGAGTAGTCTTCTTTTTGTTCCCGCCCTTCGGACCGCGCTTTCGGCTCGATGGTACCGGTGCGGCACTCGCAGCGGGAGTTCCAGCTTCGCTAGGTTTACCGCTGTCGTCAAAGCGGCCTTCGCCCTCGTGATACCTGCTCACCCAGTCAGCAAAAGAGAACCCCGTTAATTAATTTTCGTGCTCATACAAATCCTCCAAGTTTATTGCTTTAGGTTCTTCGCCAGCTGGGCCGGTCTTAGCCTTTTTCTTTCCTCTCTTAGCGCCGCCTTTAGCCTTGGCTTCTTCGGCCTCCTTTTCTTTAGCTTCAAGCGTCTTCTCCAGCTGTTCAGCTTCCTCGTCATCAAAGAGCCAGGTCGCGACTTCACGTGTGCCCTTGAAATCCACAGTATTCTTCTTAGCTCCCGGATCACCACCCTGAATGACGACACGTTGAACCTATAGACACTGAATGTTAGCACTATCGATAGAAATTGTAGAAATACAGCATCCTTACCTCTTCCTTTTGCTTGGCTCTCGTACGAATACGCTCCTCAATGGTGCCACGAGTAATTAGTCTGTAAACCGTCACCTGCCTGGTCTGGCCCAATCTGTGAGCACGATCCATAGCTTGGCTGTCAATTGTTGGATTCCAATCACTGTCGTAGAAGATGACAGTGTCTGCAGCCGTAAGATTAATACCCAAACCGCCAGCACGTGTACTGAGGATGAAGACAAAGATCTCAGGTGTTGTCTGCCATGCGGAAACCATGTCACGACGATCCTCAAGCTTCGACGAACCATCCAATCTGAGGTAGCGGTGATGACGGTATGTCAAGTATTCCTCGCAGAGATCCATCATCTTTGTCATCTGGAAATACAGCAGGACGCGGTGGCCACCGGCTTTAAGTTCAGTAAGAAGAGCATCCAATTTAGCCAGTTTGCCCGAATCACTGACGAACCGCCTCATGGAAGGGACTTTGATATGCGCATATCCCATCTTCTCCGATGAAGGCTCAGGAAGAATCTTAGGAATAGGGTACAATCCAAGATCAATCCTATTCTCCATATAACGCTGCTCCTCGAGTGCCGAAGATCCATAAAACACCTTCCTAACCCGCTCATTCCAAAGAAGAGACTGTTGCTCAAAGATCACTCCCTGACTTATACAGACCAGATTGATTGGAGGTGCTGACGCCGAAGGGCTCGCAAGAGGCTCTAGACGGTGCATCATCTTGTCGCGAAAGTAGGTTTGCGACACATTCATCAAGTCCGCGAGATAACCTTCGGTAGCCACTTCCGCAACCTCCTTTTTATCCGCAAGCTCCGAAATCAAGAACATCACGTGGGAAGGAACATAGGGATCGTCGTTATCGTATGGTACAGCAAACCGTGAAAGCTTTCTCCGTGTGCGTAACGCCAAGGCTCTATCAAACTCGCCTCGATGAAAGGCTTTCCACGCCTCACCGGGCGAAGTATCAGCAAAACGAAGCCAAGAGAACGCACCGTTCGGCTTTCTTGTTGATTCCCTGATTTGATCCGGCTTCCAGATGTTCCAGCGATTGCTGAGTATGGAGCGCCTGATCCCAGCTCCTGAGTCGGGTCCCGGCACTTCCAGTCTACCTCCCTCCCTACAAACCAGCGCTGGAACCTCATAGTCTATCACATTTCTAGCCGTGTAAGAAACATCAATCTTGGAACCCTCTCGCAAAAACGAGGCGGTCTCCGCCCATCTGGAAAATGCAAACGGCGAGCTTGTTTCGGCCCTCTCAAACAGATCCGGGTGATTGCATACTTTTCTGAACTGCATCACAAGGTTCATCAATGTTGCGTTATTTTCGTCCGCTCCGGAGGCAGCCTTCTCAATAATATCCATAATGCTAATCTTGTCGCGCAGGCCTTTGTACAGCGCTCTCTGGCGGTAGGTCAACTCGCATTGAACGTCAAGCTCAATTTTGTCGCCAAGCTCCTTCTGAACATGCTTCTTGATACGTCGTAACATAAAAGGCTTGAGAATCATATGTAGGCGGCGAAGTTGCGCTTCATTGAGCTGGGTGTTGCTCTGGGCATGGCTCTCAATATCCTTAGAAAACCATTCGCTGAACTCGTCATGGGAATCGAAAAGACTAGGCATAATGAAATGAAGAAGGGCCCATAGTTCTGGGGGTGTCAGAAAGTGATTCAAGTATATAGTAGAATAGAGAAAACAAACCTTGCATAGAGTTCTGAATCGGGGTACCCGTCAATAGTAACCTATTCCTACAGTGAAACCCAAGAAGTGCTTTCCATCGAGAACTTGTAGAGCTCTTGATTGCCTGCGCTTCATCCAAAATCATGTACTGCCACCTCATCCTCTGGAAGTACTGTGTGTCCTGGACAACTAGCTGGTAAGAAGTGATGAGAACATGGAATGGAGAATCTTTAGTATACGTGAGTTGCTTGCGATCCCAAAATTTCCTAAGAACCTTCCTGTCCTTTCCACTTCCCCAATACGGAAGAATCTTGAATTGGGGGACGAAGCGTGCAATCTCCTGCTGCCAATTGTGCAAGGTAGAAGCAGGAGCGATGACCAAGAAAGGACCCCAGATGTTATGAGTTTCCGCAAGGTACGCCATGACCGAGATCGACTGCACAGTCTTTCCAAGGCCCATTTCGTCTGCGAGAATCCCGTTGATACCCTGTTCATAAAGATTGCAAAGCCAGTTCAATCCCTTCAATTGATACTCTTTCAACTGACAAGAAAGCAGCTTCGGTTGTTCGATATCAATATCTCCCAAACTGGTGGGGTTCTGGAAATTCATTTCGCCTTCATCGAGGTTGACATTTCCAAGATCGGTCTTACCATCTCCGGGCCCTGGAGCATTGAACGCACGAGCGGTATCCTGTGCCGCTTGAATAGCATGCTGAGCATTGTTAATCGCAACTCGATGTAGAGTATCATCATCCTCGGCGTCAAAATCAAGATCGTCGAAACTCCTGACAGGCTTCCCAGGCCTGCTATTCTCCTGTCCAGGAAGTATGGCAGGCACATTGGGATTAGTCGGAATCTCTGCAGCAACGTCTACTCCTGCAGAATCTGTCGACCGCTCAACCTCATCTGTTTTAATCTTCCTTCCAATGAAATGGGAGTAGAGTTCGGTTTGCGAGATCAAGAAGTTCAGCTTTCTCGCCTGTCTTTTGGCTTCCCTATTCTCTTCTTCCCGCTTTGCATGTTCCAGAGCCTCCTTCTCCGCACGGCGCCGTGAGTCTCGCTCTTCGCGTTCATTACGCTTCCAGAATGTCATCATCTCACGCATACATCTCTTAGCTCGAGCTTGCGTATCCTTGACATTCTTGTTGGTGCGAAGCTTCCAACGTTGGGCCTCTTTGGCCGCCAGCTGGGCAGTCTTTTTGAGATTCGACTGTTTTGTAGCCAAAGAAGTCTGTTGAACTCTGTAAACCTTCGGAATATCTCGTCTAGCGATATCTTTCCAGATTTGGTCGAAGATTTGGTTATAACTTTTTGAAACGTGTGGCACATAAACCTCCTGTACTGGTGGCTCCTTGATGATCGGTTTTAACTCCTTCACCTCCTTAACCTCGGGTGTCTCCTTGGTTTCTTTAGGTTGCCTCTTCCTACCAGGTTTCCGCTTCTTTCCACCCTCATCAACAACCACCATCGGGGGTCCACTGGCATCTGAGTCGTGCATATCGGGACCTAAGCCAAGCGCCCCATCAAGTCCATCTCTGGCAGCTCTCTCTGCCGAACGCTGCCTAGCAATCTCATCCCTCACATGCTTCTCGGCAGCTTCTCGTTCGGCAGCTTCAACGGCAGCCTTGGCAGCGATTTCCGCCCTGGACTTCTTCTCAAATTCAGCCTTCTCCCGTCGGCGTCTGCGCTGTTGCTCCTTCTTGCGCTCCTTCTCATCCTCCTCCTCCCGCTTCATCACCTGTTCCATAGCATCTTCGTAGAACTGAATACGGGCGCGTTCACGGGAAGATTTGGCATGAGCGTGAAACTGGTCGTGAAGATGATTCTGAAAAACGACACGCCGACGCTATTCACGATCAGTATCTGCCATATAGAAAGCCACAAAGTGAAACCCCTACCTTCCGGTTCTCATTCTCCCGTCCCTCCACTTCCAAACGACGTTTCCGGATTTTCTTCAAATATTCAGCCCTCTCCTGTGCAAACCCACCATCATCCAGTTCGCTATCTGTTTTATCCGGATCATCAGTGAGGTTGACAGAATCGTGATACCTAAATCCACGAAAGGAACCGTTCTTCCCTCCACTGCCACCGTGATTGCTAAAGCTCAACTCTGTATCCGTGGCATCCGCATCCCCTGAGCGAAAAGAGCTTGCCGAAGTAGTGGCCTGTTTGGCAGGGGGAGCTTGCCGTAAGCCTGCTCTCGACATGGCAAGACTGGTGTTGTTTGAGTCTCGATCTGGTGAACGGCGTTTGGTTGTTTGTGTAAGGCGAGGAACGTTTTTGGGAGTGGTTGTGTCAGTGGAAGGTTCGTCGGCGTTGCTGAGAAGGGCAGATATAGACATTGCGTCACCTCGGTGCGCAGTGGTGGCTTTCTAAGTGTAATTCATGAGTTGTCAAGATCAAAGAACGTAGAATCGACGTGCGTTTGGACGCGAAGCTTACCTTTGCTGTCGGTGAACTGGGTCCGGCCGCGTAATCTGGATGTAGCGCGCCAGGACCCATCGATGACCTCAACTCTGCGGTTGTATGGTGAATACTTGATGCTGAGGTGGGTGAAGGAAGAGGATAACTTCGTCTTGAATTTGGATCGATAGGATGAATGGGGGATTGTGTGGCTCCTCTAACGATGGATTCGCCGCCGTAAGCGTAGCGCTGATCACGACTCTGTAAATATTAAATGCGGTCAGCACACACGTAGAGAGATGGTCGCAGTCCCAGCACTCCTGGTATGATACTAACTGCAGACAATCTAGGGCAAGAGCCGGAAAGAAACGGAAAACAAAGCAAGCTTCTCACACACAAAACAGCGAGGAAAGGGGGGAAAACCCAACCCCCAATAAGAGATAAAGGAAAGGGATACTCAAAAAAAAAAAGAATCCGCTAGGGTTAGATGTCGATTCTAATAGGAAAAAAAAAATAGAAAAAAGGCAAAAAAGCTACAGCGACCCCATATATTCTCGGAGCATGGGAAAAGAAAATTCCATCAAAATGTAAAAATAATAAAAGGGCTACATACCGTTTGAGATTGTGTTGAGTGCCTCCTTTCGTATGTGGTAGCAGCAATATTAGTTGTACTTGTAGTAGACTGGCTCCAACCAGAACTCATATCAGAGGGACGGGATTCTACAGGATCATAGTAGCCAGCGCGAGTAACGTATGGAGCACTTGTCGCCAGAGGAGGTAATGAAGCAGCAGGCCCAGAACGACCGTTGGGCGCGAACTGTTGATGGGTCTGCTGGGGTAGAATGGATGGGTTCGGGTAGTGAGCAGCAGAATTCGGGAGCGGAGGACGATGCTGTTCAGATGGGGAAAAGGAGGCTCGGTAGGGCAAGCTGGGAGAGGGATTGGGGTTGTAAGGGGAATGTTGCTGGCTGCCCGACATGACTGATTATGGGATTTTCAGAATGCGCGAAGATACCCTTCCCCCCATGGAACAAATCCAACACAAAAACGGCAACAAAGTTACCAGGAACCGAACCACAGCAACCCGCCAACAACCAAACCACACAGGAGGAGGACTTGTTGATCGTGACGGAAGGGACTGGCCGTGTTTCACAGGTCAAAGTAAAGCTGCGAGCCCGCAGTTAGAATTTTTGTTCTTTGTTTTTTGTTTTTTGTTTTTTTTGTTAAAAAAAAACAAAAAACAGTCAGATTATAGAAGGGTGAAAAAAGTAATTTTTTTTAAAAAAAAGGCAGTAGTAGTTGTAAGTAGTAGCAGTAGCAAACGGGGCAGCCGGTGGAGTACGGTACAGGTAGTAGAAGAGCGACGAAACCACTGAAAGCGGATCAGTGGATTGGGGGAGTTGGAGGGGAACACGCGGGGAGCCGGGGGGGGAAGTGATGGGAAGGGGAGCGATTGATTGAGTGAGAGATTGATGCTGCGACGGCGACGAGCAGCAGTAGATATCAATCCCGCGGTAGTGATAATAGCACCAGCGTATGATACCAGGATCAACAGTAGTGGTAGAAGCGGCCGTAGTCAGAATTCGGAGGTGGAGCTACTTAGAGGTTTCTAGGTATACTTGTATATAAAGTATATGTGTATACCGGTGGGATACCTCGAAGTTGCAGAAGGGGGTGGGAATGCGTAAGTGAGTACGAGCAGATGGACGACTAGAGAAACCTTTCTCTCTCTATCTCTCTATCTCTCTTTTTCTTTTTTTCTCCCTCCCCCCTCTATCCGAAGACTGCACAAGTGGCAGCAGACCTGATACTGGATGCGGAATAAAGCGTGACGACGGCGACGACGATGAAGTGACGCTGATGGTTAACGGGGATGGGGGTCAGATTAATTGTACCAATTATTTCTTCTAGCGACGCAGAATAATATATAGGAACTCTCGATTTGTTGCTAAAGGGGAAGCACAAAAAAACAGACAAACTCGAGAACGAAAAGCCGAAAATGAAGTTTATCACTGGTATCCCCGGCCAGGCCAAGAGGAAAGAAAAGATGGAGGAAAACGAGAAGAGGAATCAAGCGTGCCGCAAGTTTAACGAGATCCAAATCCCCCTCCTCTTTTCCCCCCAGGATTAAAAAAGAGGAAAAAGGAAAAAGAAAAAAGAAAAAGAAAAATGCCCGCTCAAGGGGATCTCCACAAGATAGATGGTCCAAGGATGATGGGTTGATGGACAAACGGGGGGTCCAATTTTCTGCAGCTCGTCCCCACAGCACTGGCGATTATCCGAATTTAAAATGGCGACCTATTTGCGCTCCCACGCCATGGCCGCTGCTTGCTACCAGGAAGGCGCAGAGCCGCAACCCAAAACCTCTCCTCTTCCAGTCTTCTCTTCTTTAGCTTCCCCCAATAAATCATCGTGACATCTGAAGAGCTTTCTCAGCCTGTGTAAGAAAAAAAGAAAGGAAACATACACCATACCGGCAGCCGGTACGGTGCTCGAGCACAACCTGCCCTCTCCCCTCCTCCTCGCAAGCCTTTCCAATCATAAAAATTTAATGGTATGGTACCGGTACAGTACGGTATGATACTATAATCTCCAAGCAGGTTACTTACTGTGATCCAAAAACCACCATGGCCCGATCCATCGCCTCTTCGACAGTAAGTTACCAGACCAGATCCAAAGAAAACGAACCCCCACCCTACTTTTGCTTTGCGAAATCTAACGATACCTTGATCTTTCCCTCCACATCAAATCAACCCATCACGAGCACCGCAATCAAAAAAAAAGAAAAAAGGGAAAAGGAAAGGGCCATAGCTATCACAATAAAATAAAACATGCGCCAAGCCCGCCTCCTGTCCAGTACCGTACTCGAGTACTAGTACAAGTACTCGTACTACCGTTCGGTATTATCGTACTCGAGTAATCCCCCCCTTCCTACCCGCCCGCCCATCCATCAACGTCCCTCAAGATACCGGTATGGTAACCGTATCGTTCCTGAATTTTGCATTGTGCCGAATGCTGGGAACAGGTGCTGTGTGGGCCCAACCAGAGCCCAGGCGCCACTGCAAATAAAGCCTTTATTTTTTTCCCCTCTTAACGTACCGGTATTTCCATGGCATGCCCGCAATGCCATACCTGTCCCGACGAATTCAGCCTTTTGGCACCCTGCCATCCTGGCTTGCTCTGTGTTTCGCCCGCACAAGCCCAGCATACCATGTTCCACAGTACCATATCTGCCTGTTTTCAGTGCCGGCACTGTACGAGTACTTGTACCTGCCTGCCGTTAGAATAGCCACCCTACTGTACTTGTACCATGCTCGAGTACAGTAAATTTACCCAGCCAGCAAGCTAGAAGCTCACGGTACCGCACCGTGTGCTACATACACGTACAGTACGGTACCGTACCTAGGACTCTCCATCTAACCATCCAGGCAGCCATCTTTCCCATCTCCCTTTTCTTTTCCCCACTTCTTTTCCTCCCCCTCATCCGCATCCAACCAACAAAAACCCCTCATGCAAGGAGCTTGAAGTGAAGTGAAGTGGAAAAAGCAAAAAGTTCCCCATGGAGGTGGTTGTGACCCTAACCCCATGCGTCAACGCTCCGCACCTACATAACATACTCGAGTACCAGCCGGTACCAGTGATACTGTTATCACAATATCCTTTCCGTGGTATGATACAGGAGGCTTTTTGAGCCATCTGGATCGTGAGAGAATTGGTGGTAGGTGTGCTTGGTGATATGAGTGGGTGTGGAACATTTCATTACTCTGTGGTGTTCTTTTTCGCCGGGACCAGGTACCCGAGTACCACTGTAACTAAGCATTCTATGTATCGTCGGCGGGGTTAATCGTCCTGCTGCTGTTGTGACGTGTGCACTTGAATGAACATCGCGGCCTTGTCTCCATGAGGATTGTTTTGCCCGATATTATTTATTATGGAGAAGCGGGTTCATGTCTACTCAGGTATTTCAAAGCGAAAACATGTAATTCATAAATTGGACATTTGGGGACCGTGATAGGCGGGGAACAACCCCACTTTCAAATATGGCACAGGTATCATATCATACATAAACTCGACAAACTTGAACACCCTCTCGATGACGGTCAATTTACTCGTACAAGACAAAAACCTAAGAGTCCTAATCACCACCCTACGGCGTCATCGCCGCTATGACGCCACTGCTCAAGCCTCTATTCATCATCATGATCCAAAACTACGATATACCCATCCATCATCCTAAATCACTCACGTTAGTAGATCACTCCAATCTTCTGCTGAGTCTCAAGGTAGCATACTTCAAAAATTCCTCCCTATACCTCCCCGGTTCCGCGGTTATCGTCTGCTCTGGAAGCGCTGCTCCAGCAGCCCTGATGATCCTCGGGCGCGGCTGTTTGACGTTCCATAAGAAATCCAAAACACAAAACTTGTAAACCCACTCTCCGTCTGCACTGATAACGCCACGAACAAAGTCCATTTTGCCCCGTTCCGGCAGAGCGAGGGCATCGCGGCCCCTGGTGGTATAGGTCTTCCTATGAAACATGGAGACTGGGTAGCGGCCGAGGAGGACAGAATAGTCTATTGTTTCCATTCTTTCTAGGAAGGCAGTGTCTGTTTCCAAAATGCTCCTACCAAACTATCAGCCCCTAACACAGAATGGATTAACAGGCAAATAGCGGGAGGGCATACATGAAATGTGCTTTCTGCTTGCGGGTCAGAACAATTTCTTCATCCAACCCATCTGCCAAACCACTCTTCGCCGCCCTGGCCTTCATATCATCTGGCACCAAGTCCCTTGTAGGTTCAAAGAATCCCTGAGGCTTCAAATCCCACTTCCTACATCCCCTCTCCTTATCCAATCCCTCGAGCGCGTTTGTCATGACAATATAATGTGATGGAGAAACACCCAGGCACCCACCAAGTCTGAAGTCAAAGGTATATAACACGTCGGTGATTTCTGAGAGCAGTGTGCCCGGGCGCTCACGGTAGTACATACCCAACGGATGCATGAGGGTGCTGTACAAAAATTTGTACTCGAATCTTCGGCCAATAGACTTCACGATAAAACTTTTATCATCCGAATAGAAGAACAGAGAACCACTAAAACCCAGGCCATCTACTGGGCGGAGTTTCTTTGTGAACTGGCTTTGGTAATACTCTTCGTCCAGCTTGAAGGCGTCTTTGCGAAGATGATAGAACAGGAGGGGTGCTGCTCTATGGAAGTAGGCATAATCTACAGCTTTGGTCAGTCCTATCCAGTTTAGTCCACTCTGATGGGAGAGCACACATAAGGAGAAGAAAGTCTCAAGATTGAAATGCCATTTCATTTCCGGAGATCTCCATTGGCTGTTATGCGGAAGGCCAAATAGATAATCCGTTTCTTCGGCCTGAATTTGCAGCTCGTCCGCCGAAGCTAGCGAATATCGAAACGGCTCCAAAAGGCAATGTATCGTCATATCTATCCCGTATTTTGTCGAGAAGAACGAAAGCACGAGACGGGCGAAAAATCCTCTATTCGACATGTGGGCCCAATCATATGACTGCGGTCTATATCAAGGACATCAGTATAGTGAGAACAAGGCCGGGGGCGAGCAAACCCCATGAAAGGGTTCATACCCCCCACGCTCTCTCCCAGAAGAGTTCGGTTTCGAATGATCCGCCATGATAGGGCAAACAGTTTTTTCTTCGTGGACCAGTTAACGCTGACTTTTTTCGCCGGAAACAGTTGGGGTCGTTTTTTATCGGTGTTATCCGCCCGCTAGAAAGGTAGAAACTCGGAGAACGGAAGAAGAGGCTGGAGGATCCAAGGAGATTAGGAGAAAGGCGTGGATAAGAAGGAAGACCATTTTAGCACGGTGAAACAAAGATCGAGTATGATACGAGTACACCATCATTTAGTTTTACAAGTAGTTGTCGTGGGCGGCCCTGCTGCGGTGGTCGGAGAGGATTCCCGCTTTACCATTCCCATTGTATGACGTCGCTTGGAAAATGCTACGGTGGTTAGACTACTAGCCGATTCATTTAGTATCCGGACACCTTGGTGCCAAGGCTTAGGCTGGTGCCAAGGGAGATGGAGATATAGGTTAAAGTAAACGCGCTTCGCCAAAACACGGTAACGGCGAAGTCTGTACAACAACAAACAGACTCAGATACTCGGGAAAATGGCTCCAGTTGCCCATATCCCTTCGTCTGTACCGTATCCTCTCTGCGAATTCGCTAGCGCCAAAATTGGTGGAACGGATAGGCGAGGTCTCATCATGCCATTTTGAGTAGTGATCAGCAATGACGAATTGGAACCTTGTTTCCTTTTTGACAGCAGGCCAACCTCAGGATATCTGGACTGGCATTTCCCTGGAGTCTAGAAAGTCTGATATCTGGCTTTCAGATTCTTCTTGTATATCATTCAAGTTCATACCAGAGATGATAATTTCTGAATCAAAAGTGGTTGTTTGGAATGAGTTAAGGTCATATTATCAACGATATCACAATATGCCAATGATTTATGATAATTTCTTTATCTGGTAAAAGCCCCAGACACTTTGCTATATAGTTCTCCTCCCAGTTCCTTGACCTTATTAAGAGAGAAAAGTCTAACGACATAGTACATGGTCCAATTATTTCCAGTTTTTACAGCATACTGTGTTTGTGTGCATAGTTCCATTTAGAGATAGAACTCTAGATTCAATCACTCATTGCTATGTACAAATTCTATAGCTTCATAGTCACCTACCTCAGGTATTACAAACTCCTCACTCTCCTCAAGCACTGTATCATCTTTACTCCAATCACCCATGTCTAGCTTAGGAAACCCTTTAATATCTAACTCAGAGTTACAGGTACCATCAACTGGAAGAGAAAGTCCAACCTGGCGGAACACTCGGTGAATTATCTTGCTCTTCTCAAGATGAAATTGGTAAAAAGCATTCCCAACATAGGAGGTTGTCAGGATTCGGCGATGGCTAACAGTCCACTTGTGGAAGGATTCTGCATTCTCGGCATTGAAAATTGTATCATCGGTAAGTTATTGAATCAGTTCTTTGAATGACTTATTGATTGAGACATCGAGTGGCTGAAGAAGTCCTGTGCAGCCTCCAAGAATAAGAGAGGAGATAATGTTATGCGAACGCAACAGATCAAGAACTACTGGCGTTTTATGGAATCCTATCAGGTCGATTGCAAAAAGCGAAGGCTGGCCACCTAAGGCAGGTACAAGGTGTTCCTCAATATATCGGAGAAAAAGCTTATTATTCATATAGGCTTTTTCATTAAATTTGACCTCTATTCCGGGATGGTATTGCTTTCTCCGTCTCTTCCTAATCTTTCACCTTTTTCTCGAAAGATAATTATTGGTGGAACTCTTGTTACACCATCTGCAAAAATACAAAGTACTAAAGATGCTTGCTATTTATCCCAACCATTCTGGGATGATTTTGCCCAAATAGTTTTTGCTCCAATTGAATTGTAAGTCTTTCCTTCCAGATACTCAAAAGGAATTGGAGTCTTATCGAGGTTGCAGATATTGGATTCTTGAAATCGATTGGTAGGAGTATTGAGAACCAATTTGAGGAATGGGGATAGGTAAGAAGGTTGTGAATTTTGTCGGTTAAAGCGGAGCCAATTGAGTACCAATAACTGGTATTCAGTAGGAATCTTTTGAGCTTTCTTGGTAATACACTGCAAACTAATTCAGTGCTGTCCTAGAAATTTATAAAACTAGCTATCACTAAATTGAAATTCTGCTGGATTGAGATTCGAATATAATTTTTCCGAAATCGAAAGCCAGCCTGAATACAGAACTATCCTTGTCGAATAACTCTCCCCTCCTCTCAAAATTTTATAAAATCGCTATAAATTGCCTCTTCCAGTTCCGGCCACCTGCATTGACACTTTCTCCCTAAGCTTTGCTCTACCCTTCTTGCCTGAGTATTGAATCACACCTCTTCCAACAAATGCTTTCTTTTAACCCATTTGCTAATTGTTTGTTGAGGAATCCTATAGTGATTGCTAGCTTCCATCTGACTGGGCTGGCAGAATTGGCCTGGCTCCCAGAGCAGAATATGGTGATACCTCAGATAGGTGAGTACTCGTAACTTATCTCTCTGACTATAACTACGCTCAGGTCTGACAATTGGTTTACAATTTTTTGCTCTTAGACTTCGCTCAATTATTGATTTTGGCTTGGGTCTGAAATTGGGGTTTGGACTTTGGTTTGGAGACATTGTAGATAAAGATAAAAAGGTAATAAAAATCACAGAATCTTGAATGCTCTGCTGTAAAACTAACTCTGCAAATTCATAGTTTAAACTACTATTCATGGCTATACTATCTACATATTAAGTACAGGTATATATCTACTCTTTCTTCTTCTCAAAAACAGTTCTTGTATTCTGATAACTCGAGATGCTACTATAAAGACTCATTACTTGCATCAAAAATACTCACACTCTAGGCTTGAGCTTATATTAGCTTGCAGTTATTACTTTATATCCTGTGAATCTGAAACAGAATTTCCGAATCATGTCTAGTCACTCAATCCTATTAGTCATACCTCGCTTAGCATCCCCCTCACAATACAACATCCTCTGGTGCTAGCAAATTCACAGAGAGGATACAGTACTCGCGATATCCTGACGTTTGTGAACACGACCGGACTTGCATTAGGGCTTGCAATTGTGTGTATAAGAGGGTATTTGAGTAGTAACCAATCAGAAGTGGACAAGTTGTAGAACTCTAAATCAATTAATATAGAACTACAAACCATGTCCATTGTGATTCGCGTGGATCAAACCTTTGTAGTCTCGAGATCCACTTACTAAAATATTAACTCCTAGAGGGTCAACAACTTCCTTAAGCAAAAGGGGCCAAATTATGGGTTATGCCATATTGGATGGACCTTAGAAGATGATACTGAGGCAGATTTCAGAGAGAACTGGGGTTTTGACTAGTACGATCTTGGCAACAAAAGAAACGCACCCCCTCGTGAAATATGACTGAGATAGTAACTGCAACTACCACTCCAAAATACAACAGATACTAGTGAAATAAAAAAAGCATAATTATAAAATACACAATCAAGTAGAGGTTAATACATGTAGTCACCAGTGGGTTTGTATACCATTGCGCTCCTTCAATTCCAAAATTCGTTCTGGCATACAATCTATCAAAGATTTCCAGTCAGAAGGCCGGAGCCGGTCCCATTCCTCTTGAATTGCATTTCGCATCTCAGTAATAGTTCCAGGGAAGTGATTTCTGCCCTTAATCCGCTGTTTCATGATCCTCTGTAACAATTCCTCTCTGGATAGTTAGTGCTTGGCGACAGGGAATGATACTTCTCTTCCTGTCTTCTTCTTCCTTTGTCTTACGATAGCTTTAGGCCTCTGCCTACGTTACCGATAGTACAAGACCCTTGTCTTCTACCGGGAATGCCTATCGTAAGCTTTCTCTAACTCTTCTTCGTAACGCACCTTCCTTGGCGTAACGATAACGTTGCAATAAAGATAACGATCGTAAAGGTGTTTTATATTTGTTAAAGTAATAAGTAGGAAAAGTACTTAGAACAAAGCGTGAAGAACCTATCTTCCTCGACCGCATCGGCCTCCTTATATAGTGTTCTTCCCCCCTTTAGTCATGTGACCTAAAGTGGTCACATGTATGAAACCAAATCATAACAAACTAGTCATGTGACTAAAGTAATCACATGCTCAAAACCCATGACCTCATAGCGAGGTCATGTACAAAACTCATAAGCCAATCATAATGCAATAAACAAGTCATATGACTCGACTGAGTCATATGCACGAAACCCATGACCTCATAATGAGGTCATGTGCGAAACATAAATCATATGCGCAAGGCTTACCCACAAGGCATACTCGCAAGACATACTCGTCAGGCGCATGTCCCATGACTCATACTTGAGCCATGTGCGAAAGTATCACAAATCCCACACATAACAAATCATATAACCCGAATAGGTCATATGTGTGAAACAATAACATACCTGTGACTCATAACCATGTGTCACATGAAAACCCTTTTCTCGCTAAGCCACATTCGTGACATCCTTCATATGTTTTCTATCAGGTTGAAATCAGGAGATTGCGAAGGTCTTTTATGTAACGGAATACCTAACTCTTCTTTGGGCTCCACAAGCACCTGCTTGACCCCATGCCATGGCGCTCCATTCTCGATATACTGTGCTCCTGGAGAGGTGGTATAGTGCTTTTGACTCTGAAACGCGGGGCCAACAATAGGCTTTAACACCTGTTTTAGGTAATCACTGGCCGTGATACCTTTCTTTCCTGTGCCTTGCAGAAATACAAGATCTGACTTCCAACCATAGCTAATAGTACCCCAGACTCCTACTGAACCTTGGCCACTGGAAAAGGTATGCTGTATACAATCGTCGTGATAGTTCTCGGTATTCAATCGTGTGATCCACTAGGACCTCCTCTTTGATGTGTCAAAAGTGCACTCATCTGAGTACATATGCAGACACCAATATCCCTTTGGTTCTTCAATATGCTTAATTGCATAGTACAGACGATCCTGCTAGCATTCTTTGGAAATAAAAGGTCGTTTACAGGCTTTGCATCGCATATATCCCTTTTCCTCAAGGGCTCTCTTAACTGTCATTCTAGAAACTGACAATCCTGCCTCCTTTCCTAGCCTTGACCATGATAACCTTCTACCCTCGTATCCACTCCATAGCAGCCTAATGAGCAGCCGAATATTTCCTGTCGTAAGGAGTCGGGGACAGTCAGATTGGAACTTGTTCCGCCGTTCGTGAAACTCGCTTACCCAACGACTAACGGTTCTTCGTGGCACACTAGTACGTCGTGATATTTTATGCTTTGAAAATCCTAAGTCCTGTAGCGTATGGACTCTAGACTGTATTGGAGTACCATAATGTGTCTGGCTCACTGTATGTGAGGGAGGAGTTGTAGTCATTGTTGTTGAGAAGAAATTTTCTGA